GAATTGCTTGTCATACTTAACAGGGAATCTATCATCCCAGCACCGGCTGAGGTATGTATTTATTTATATGTTTACTTGTTCCTGTTTCAGGCGAATGCTCTGTTATGTAAATTTTGTAATCAACCCAATTTCAAATAGTTGAGCCTTTGAAGGTTTTTCATAGTGTGAATACATGAACTTGTGACAGCATCTGACATTTTGTATATCCTTTCTTTTGATTTTTTGTATATGCAACTGGGAAATTAGTAATTGTCCAGTGAATCTCAGTCTTGAATAAAATTTCCAATATTAAGTATGTTAATTGAGGTCATAGAACTAATAAATTATGTTTGTAAGAGTTCAGCTTGGAACTTACCAAGGAAGAACATTTGTCAATAGCTTGAGTTCATACAATTTAATTGACATGATAGGGCAAGATGAAATTTATGCAAGTTTTTCCCTATTTTTTGGTTGATTTGATTGCTGTTCTTTTTGTCTCTGCATGCGTGATGAACTTTTTAACGTTATAAAATTCTGAAAATATCTTCAAATTGTGTTGGTGTGTTTGAAACCCACTACCTTCCCTATTGTGGGAATAACTCTTTCAGCAACTTCAGAGGCATCTGGTTTTGAAGATAAGACTGAACAGTTACCTGAGATTCTGAAGCTAAGTTGTTAGTACTGAAAATTGTAGATATATGAAAAGGAAAGTAGAAAATAATCTCCATCATACTTAGATATCCACTTAGCTGCAGAAGGGATCAAAATATTAATGTTGGCATGGTCTGTGTGTTTGTTGCAAATAGCATGTGATGATGGCATTTAGCATTAACTATTTGTGCGGCCTTCGTTGCTGATTCCTGTTGTTGATCAATACTTCCATTAACTTCTCTTGAAATGCTGATTAAAATATGATTTTGGATTCAATCATAAATTTGAAATCAATTACCGTGTATAATCGTACCGGTTGGTAGTTGGCAGCTTCTAATATCAAATGAGGTAAAATTATTGTTGTCGTTATGTCACATTCAGGCTCAGCTGTAGATTTGTTGTTACTTGCTTCTCCATCGGTCACATTGATGGTGCCTGCATTGTGACATTGTTGTTTTTTCTTGATTTACAGGCAGTATGTAATTAACAAAGCTGAGGATACTCACATTTGATGTGTGGCATGATTAATTGAGTTGGCTCTGCAGTGTAACATGCACGGACAGCGTGCTTTTAGCCTATGTTACCAATCTTTGTTCGTCCATCCTGCACTGCGCTAGTTTATGTTAACAGGCCCCAGTACGATCGAGTGTCATTGTAATTATTAGCACGATGTTGTAATTAGTGTTATTGTACCCTTGGAACTGCTAGAAGAAAAAATAGATACTACTATTTATGTCACAAGGGCTATTCAAACTACATAGCATTTAAGATTGGCAGCTAGAAAGATTTTATAATACTACATGTTTTGGCTCTACCAAAATACATGTCTCATTTATTACGTGGGGATTATAAAGGTAACACAAATTTATAGAAGAAATGGTTGTAGTTAAAAAAAATAAATGCAGATAGATTACCTGGGGCCTACTGTTCTACGAAGCCACCAATTGCTACAAAAAGGCGAATTAACTACAATATTATTTATATATACATGTTAGTAATTTTTGTTTAATTTTTGGATGTCATGTTAATAAGTGGATTAATAATGTTTAATTTTGAAAATTATGGAGACCAAACTCGCAATAAAAATTTTTTTGAATCAAAATTACACATTTGTGAAATTATAGGGACTAAAAGGGGTTATGCCTTTTGTTTTAATTTTTATAATTCACAGCGTATAATTTGACATGGTTAATTTTGTATTCGACAATTTCACTGTATTGTTTTATTATTTAGTGAGTAATGACGAGGTTTTCTTTTCAAATCTATACATGTATCTGGAAATTGGAACTTTATATTTATAATGAATTCATATATATTTTAAAAAACTTTATTTATTCTAATTTACATGTAAATTTCGTACAGCTGGGCTCTTTATAAATATTTTGAAAGTTTGAATGTTATTAGTTTCTTAAATTTGGAATAAGTTTATTTTTTATTTTTTAAATTTAAAATTGATCTTTTAGTCTATGTAATTTTGAAACTTATTTCATGTTTTCACTGAAAAGAACACCGGTCAGTTTTATGTGATAAATTTAATAATAGGTGAACTTTGTTTGATGTATTTATTAATAATATCTCAGTAGAGAGATTAAATTTTAAGGACTAAAAAAGATTAAATTTTAAATTAGTGATTAAAAATATATTTGGTTTTTTTTATATATATTTTTCTGCTGGATTTTATTACTTTTTATTTATTTTTTTAATAAACAAGCGCATGAATTTATTAAGGTTTAAATATATTTTTAGTCCCTCAAATTTAAGACAAATTTGTTTTTGGTCCCTCAAATTTAAAACTGTTGTTTTTAGTCTCTGAAATTTTCAAAAATATTATTTTAGTCCTTTAGGTCACTAATAACATATCTGAAAATGAAAAATTAAGATGATTAAATAATATTAATTGAATTTAATGTGATATTTTCACTAATAATAACACTAGTATGTAGATTTTATGCAATAATATTTGATAAATTTCTTAATAAAATTTGAATATAAAGACTAAAATAAGATTTTTTGAAATTATAGATATTAAAAACAACAATTTTAAATTTTAAGGATAAAAATAAATTTATCCTAAATTTGAGGGACTAATTTAAGTCATTTATTAATTATAAGAGCTTCTTAAGTCAGTACTCATGAGACCTATTTTAAGACAGGCTTGCCCATCGTTATTTCCAGCATATAGGCCCAAAGTGTTTTATAGAGCATGGCCTGCCGTTGAAATCACCAACTCCAAAAGTGACTTGTTTTTGAAGAATCATAATGACTAATGAGGCTGATGGGTTTCAGGTGATAGTTACAACTAACTGGGCCTACTACTGCTTACCAACACACCATTGTCCATCTCATAGATGTGATGGCCTTTGTTTTTTTGGTTCAAGGGAGGGGAATGCCGGAAAGGTTTGGTACCTCGTCAAAATTCAATTCATTTTTTCTAAATGAAAGTATACCGGTTCACAAAAAATGGCCTCAATGAATGTTTCCCCCAACACTTGTTTGGAAAGTGCTTACTGTCCGGGAGCTCATCTGATTTTACAAAGAAATAAATGCATGACTCTGACCCAAGTTTCTTTTAATTAAGATTATTCTGAAAAACACATTTTACTAAAAATTTGTGTAACTTTTTTATTAAGAATTATACATTAGATTATTTAAAAAATTTACTTTTAGGACGTATTTTGTAGGGGAGAAGTTTTATCATATCCAAGAATCATGAATCCTAGGATTATAAATCTTGGGAATCATGTTTCTTGGGTATAACTAAAATCTGTTTGATTATTCATAAATGTTTCTAAGATTGTTCATACAAAATTTTAATATTTAGTTACAATAGTATATTCCTAGGTATATAAATATTTTTTACAAAAATATCTTTTATTAAAATAATCTCATTAGATATATTTATTTACTCAAAATCCTATTATAAATATGACACTAAACTATTTAAAAAGTTGGAAACTTATAGTTAAAATTATTTAAATATAGAGTTCAACAAAAGAAATAAATAAAGAATGATAAAAAATTATTATTCTATTTCATTCAAATAAATAAATAATTAAAAGTGTTAACAAATATATAAACAATAAAAATAACAAAATAGACCTTAATAATATTATTAAAATTGATAAAGTTAAAAAATAATGAGATAAAAAAAAGAGATATAGAAATAGAGATATGAGAGCGAGAGAGAGACAAAGATAGAAATACAAGAGGGAGAGGGGAGAGGGGAAGAGCAGAGGGGGAGTGAGAGTGATAGAGGGAGAGGGAGAAATAAAGAAAAAGAAAGGGTGAGGGAGAGAGGGAGAGAAAGAGAAAGGGAGTGAGAGTGAGAGGGACATAGAGAGGGACAATGAAAAATAGGAGAGAAAGAGATAGATTTTATATTTTAAAAAGAAATAATAATATTTTTATATACATAATTTTTTTCCTTTAACTAAAAAAAGTTAGATTTCCATTCATTTCATGAAAAAAAAATTGTGAAAAAATAGGATAAAAATAACTATTAGAGGAATTATATTCTTGAACTTTTTTTAAATAGATATTAAATAAGAAAAATCAGATTTTCAATTTAAGATTCTTATCAACACCTCCTTAGATAATAATTTTCAAATAAAGAGATAATAATTTTTAAATATAAATTATTTCCATACAAATTCAATTCTAACCCAAATTAGTTTTATAAAATTAATTATATCCGTCAAAAATTAACACACACACATTATGTTACGTATGTGTCAATTTATATAAGTTTAAAAGAATTTTTCGAAAGTTTCTTTGTTCAATATTATGTTACGTATGTGTCAATATTATGTTACGGTACAAGCTACTTTATATAAGTTTAAAAGAATTTTTCGAAAGTTTCTTTGTTCAATATTATGTTACGTATGTGTCAATATTATGTTACGGTACAAGCTACTTTATATAAGTTTAAAAGAATTTTTCGAAAGTTTCTTTGTTAAAAATAAATAGTAGATAAAGTTTTATTTTTTTAGTTTATATCCAAATAGATTCAATATTATGTTACGTATATGTGTCAATATTATGTTACGGTACAAGCTACTTTATATAAGTTTAAAAGATTTTTTCGAAAATTTCTTTGTTAAAAATAAATAGTAGATAAAGTTTTATTTTTTTAGTTTATATCCGAATAGATTCTAAAATATATAACCGAGATTTATGTGAATAAAAAAGAAATTAAATCGAGAGCCAGTTATCCTTCCAGTATTCTTAACCAGAGTGGGCGAATTTTTACATGCACGTCATGATGGAAAGAATAATAACTGTTAGTGTTACATTGTAATCTCTTATCTTCCCAGAAGTTGAAGTGGCAGCGTTAGACTTAGACTGTAGAGTCATTATTAATTTATTGGTTTAGAATCTTTACAAATGAAAAATAGCAAACATCATTCTAAAGAAAGCGTAAAAGCAGAACTAACTGCATAAGATGTTATTTCAATCACGCCTTGCAATAGAAACGAAAACTCTGCTAACATGCATGGGAAAACAACCTAATAAGGTCAAAGGCCTTCCATACACTTCTCTGATGGTAGTGGAAGGGCTTTTCATGAACGACGTAGAGGACCAAGAAGAAGAACTTGAACCACGAGAGGATGCCTCAGACTCGGAATCAGAGCTGCAATCCAATCTTGGTAATATGTCCAAACCAATAGCATCTTCATGAAAACAATCTTGGGATGATGACTTTTTGCTTTTTCCACGTTTGACCCTTTTCTTCCAAAACCTTAGCCTTGAACGGGTTGAAGGTTTTGGTTCCGGAATGCATGGCTTGGGTAGCCCCATGCTGAGAAGTGCTGGTGGAGGACTTAGTGGAGGAAGATCTTCTTTTGGTCGTTCTTTTGCAATCCCTGGTTGCCTTTCCCATTTGAATGGAACCCCTTCTCCACTCCTATAGTAAGACAAGCGAGAGGAGCATCCCAGAGAGGTTCTCCTTGAAAGAATTTTGCTCAATGACATGTTCTTCTCATACTCAAACTCCATCATAGCTTTTCCAATATTAAAGAATGTAACGTTGCTTGTGTTTATATAGCTAGGATGGAGTATTGGGTATACATTTGTTTATATATATACTGTTTTGAGTCTTTTGACCTTTAGAGAGTCATAAATACACTCAATATTTTTGTTAAATTGATAGATTAGTCATGGGCATGTTGCTTCTAGTTTGAGTGACTCAAGTCTTTTTTGTATTGACAAGTAAACAAATAGCTAGTAAAGCAATATAGATATGTAATGTCGTTGTTTCTAAGACTACGATAAACCAATTATTATATAAGTTGGCCGGCCTCTATTGCATGTGCCATGACCAAACCCTTAAGGGCTTGTGTTATATATGTGGGGCACATGTTAGGGTTACAGTTGTCAGTTGACAACTAAGGTCTATCTACTTATCTTCACAACGTACATGGCGCAGCTTATTTTGATTGAAACATTGACAACTTTTCTCAATTGTTAAGGAAGCTAAGTCCTTTACTTTGGAAATTACCCAAGGTTTCATTCATTGAATATGAATGAGTGCAAATGCTACTAGCTAGCTACTATTTCATAATTGTAAGAATGAAGTGGACTTTTGACATTTAGTTGTTTTTAATTATCTGCATTATACCTTGTTGTTTTATTATGACTTCCTAATGAGTGTGGTTTGGGAAACAGTTAACCTAACTGTGGGTGATTTGGCCCAGTAGTTATTATATGCATGACTTGAGAGACATAAGCCACTTTTTGCTCATACCGACTTCAGGAAAATTATTTGTTACTATTAAGCTTTACTGATGCATTGGCTGGCGCTGGGTATTTGTAACTTATCCACAATGATCGCACCCTATTATTTCATCTGGTTTCATGTAATAATACATTTTATTGAACTTCAATTTTTTTTCCGGCTTATCTGATAGTGCATTGGATATGGATGTATCATCGTAACTTTATAAGACATTATAAGATGCTATCTAAAAACATCTAGAGAAACTCTATTAATCAACCTAACTTTTTAAGAGTTTGTTAATCTTTAGAACTCTGTAAACAACTAAAAACAAAATATAACAATTAAAATATAAAAAACATCGTAAATCATCTTACATCATCACATACATGCATAAAAGTAAAACATTGTTATAATCGAAGGAAAGTAACTTTATTAGGACTTATTTTTTTTATAAATGAATCTTACTTAAAAGTTTTTAATAAATAGATTAAGTTATATATTTTTTTTACAAATTTTATATATATATATATATATATATGAATAAATTCTAAAATTTCTAAAAATAAATTTGGTTAAAATTATTTTACTTAATAACTTATAATTTACGTTGATTTTTAATCATTCATTAAATTAAATTTTTTTAATAAATAGATTAAGTCTATATTTTTTTTACAAAAATTGAAATTCATTAGTTGTTTCATTAATTTAAATAAGCAATTATTTAAACAAAATATTATACATTAATTCAAATTAATGTAATAAATCATCAAATGACTTTCAAATTTTGTAAAAACTTGTAGACTTAATTTATTTATTAAGAACACTACTTAATTCACTACAAGAAATGTTACATATAGTGACATACAAAAAATGTCACTATAAGTATAATTTATGTAAGTATATATTTATTTAATATATAACTATATACAATTTTAATATTGATTTTGAATGAAATTTAACAATATATTTTGTGTGTCACCATAGTCCATATCTATATTTTTAACAATATATCAACATATATTGTATTTATTATGTAGATAAAAGTAATTTTTATGTCACTTTAGAGTGCATATTACTATATAACAATTTTCTTATAGTAATTCTATTGTTGAAACATTTAAACTTAATGTAGATTATAAATTATTGAGTAAAATAAACTTATCATATGATTTATTTTTAGAGAAATTAAATCCCTCTTATATATATATATAAATCAGATGTCACTAAATTTAAATTTAACTATTCATTTGTTTAAATTAAGTAGGTTGTCTCTTCAATTTTTTTATACGCATAAATTACAATGATTACAATATATTTAAATCTAAGATATCGTATATATATTGTCCTAATCTTTCACTACTAAGCATACTTTAGTGACTTTAGAAAATGATTAACTATTCACACATATCATTTTGTGATATTCTTGAACGAATTCATAGGTGTCAAGCTGGATTAGGATTTAGGAGACATAGGTAACGTTCCCTGTATAGAAAATTTAAAGCTTTAGACAAATTTTATATCGTAATACTTTATATATATATATAT